TTTTTTCTCCATTCTGTCACCGATGGAGTTTTGGTTCCTTGCCGCTGTCGCCTCTGGCTTGCTTAGTTGGGGACACTTAATTTCCAACGATATCGTTGACTTGATTGCACAGATACTATTTAACCTGAACTGAGCTGGATGATGACATCACTGAATTCAATGAGGAACTGCCTTTAACTGAAAATTGAGTGTTCTATTGTCATTTTGCATTAATGACACACTATTTTACTAATTAATGCTGTACAGTTGTTTTGACACAATCTGTATTGTTAAAAGCGCTATATAAATAAAGGTGACTTGACTTGACTTTGATCTTCGATTGCATTGTCGTCTGTTTTGCGTTTTAGGTCTCGCTGAGCGCGAGGCATTGGATACACCTTGAATGTCGAGGGGCACTCACTTCTGTGCCCTGCCACCTCTTAAAGACCAAGTATCTCTTTTCAAAGCTGAAGGGGCCCTCCGCAACCCCACTGCCACAACCTCACAAATAACATTACAATGTGCAAGCCATAAAAGTGCCACTGAAATGGAAAGTGACACAAGGAATATGCTTGTGTTAAGTGTTCAAGGTGAGCTGTATTATTTTGTAATATGTTTGTGCTCATGCTGTGAAATTTTATTAAGCAAACAGATTTATCTCATCCTACAATAGTGTTGTAAAAGACGTCAGTGTTGTACTAAACTCTCTATAAAGGACTAATGTAATTATTGTCATTACTGGAAACAGCACAAAGGACTCTGTGTCAACCATACAATGAAAAAAACTTTAAACACTCTTAAAGACGGTGAAAGAAACCAAACGTCAATGTGGCACTGACCACAAACACAATGGGATGACTATAAATCCACACACCCTGTAGGACAAATTTCAGGACAACATATGGGATAGCCACAGGATTGTTACTTATGGATTTTAAAGGAAAGCGCTATTAACCCAAATCTTTCAAACACTGACTATAAAGCACAATCAATCGGCGATTTGACATCAAACAAACATTTGTGAGTTCTTTCATTTTCCAGATTCTCTAGAGAGCTTCTATTTTCACCTCTGGGTTATTGTCGAGTGTGTAATTTATATCTAGACTGTAAATCTTTGGCAGCCCAGAGTTAAGTTTATAAGATATGTGGGGAGTAGAAAAGGCAGGGGGAAGACAAGGATAAACTTTTGCTGTCTGTTAGAGCCTCAAAAATAAATATGATGCTACAAATAGAGCAGTGTTTTTGTCTGGAATACAAGGGCTCATTGGGGATGGAGACTAGAGTGAAAACAGTAGGCCTCCAGATAAAGTTAAGACAACAAACTGTAGACAATACATTTGGCCAAAGAAAAAATTACACTCTCTCTAACACAGGAAGCATTCAATTGGTTCAGCATCCAAACCTCACAGTTAATAGAAGTGGATCAAAAAGAGATCTGAGTCCACTTCTAATGCCAGGGACAGTGTGAATGCAAAGATAATTAAATTTTTTCCCACTAAGTTGCCTTTTAAGTGCACTTCAAGAGCATTGTAAAGTAATGTCTCGGTTACGTATGTAACCCTCGTTCCCTGAAGGAGGGAACGAAGACATTACATTGACACTGACGTTAGGGGTTTCACTTGGGAGTCCCAATCACCTCTGAGCATTACGAGAAACGGCCAATGATAATTGGCGAGTGGAATTTGCATGCCAACCACTCCCCGTACATACGGGTATATAATATGGCGGCGTGCATCCACTCATTCAGGTTTGTGCTAAGGAGCCGAGGAAGCATCCCGGCATTCATCGCAGTTCACGGTTGTGGCATGAGGGACATAACGTCTCCCTTCCCTCCTTAAGGAAACTAGGGTTTACATACGTAATCGAAATTTTCCCTATGGAAAGCAGCACAACCAGAACTGTTACGAAAATTGAAGGTGCAGGTGCTGACAAGCAAGTGTGTCAGGACAGATGCACCTCAATCCGCAACCTACCCAACGCCTCATAAAACAGATCTCATAACAAGTATACGTGCTTACCAGGGAAGCCGAAAAAACGGTTGTTCTGACATTCTCAAAATACTGGATTTCAGCAACCATTAGGGTGCGGAGACACATCCAAATAGGAATGTGAATAGTAAGAGTGGTCGCAGCACAGTCAAACAAACTGGCATGACCCCAGTTTAGGGGAAGACAACAGGAACTGACAGTAAACAAATTGTTAGGGAGGACACAGGTTTGCCAAGGGAAACCGTACCGTGGAAAAACATATGGGATTACCAAGGGAATCTCACTAATGGCATGCAACCCAAATACTGAATGTGGCAACAGACTCCTCTGCTAAGTCTGAATGCCACAGGGTGTTGGAGAAATCGACCAGGATTCAACAGATGGGGAACTTACTGGAAGAAGATAAGCGCACGTATCCTAGCCAGAGGAATGGCGCCGCAAGCGAGACACAGAGAAACCAGACCTCCCGGCAAATTGCCTGTTTGTACCCAACACACGGGCGGAAACTGGCTCTACCCAGAGATTATAGAACTTTGCAAAGCTATTAGGTGTCGACCAGACCGCAGCTCTGCAGATATCTGCTAGAGAGGTGCCGTGCGCCAACGCCCAGGAGGAGGCAACAGTCCGAGTGGAATGAGCTCTCATCCCCAGGGGGTACGGCTCGCCTTGTGCCTGGTACACCAAGGCAATGGCATCCACTAGCCAGTGGGCCAACCTCTGCTTGGAGAGAGCCTTCCCCTTCTGCTGTCCTCCAAAACAAACAAAGAGCTGTTGAGAGCGTCTCAAGCTCTGGGTGCATTCAACAAAACATCAACATAATGTGAGAATCAGACAGCCCAAACTCAAGACACGATTTGTTGATTGAAAATGCTAGCTGTGAGGAGCAGGACTTCCGTAATCCTCAGGTCTCCCTTGTCCCTAACCAATGCAGCCCCGAGATTTTTATGACCAGAGGAACTGGACTGGGTAGAGTTCGAGTGAAGCCTCATAATGAATGCGAGCCACGACCTCAGAGTAGCCATGGACATGCACTCGCAGTGCGGGCATGAACCATCCACAAAAGCAGTCTCAGCATGCTTGTGGCCCAGACATGTGAGACAGAGATCATGTCCGTCATCAGAGGTAAGGAAACTATCGCACCTAGAAGCACACGGCCAGAAAGACATTCCAAAAGACACTCTCGACTGTGCAAGCTGTAGGAAATTGCTCTTTTAGGCTGGAGCACCAAGGGGTGGAACACAGCACTTATGTGTGCCAAAACAGGGGTGAACACACCACTTAATGCGCTTTATAATGCAGCCGAGAATCTCCTGCACAGAAAAGGCTTTGTTTCCATAGAATTTCTCTTGAAGAGAGAAAGCGCTCATGAAGCGATCAGCTCCGAAGCAAAAATCTGAATGAGTGGATGAACACTGCCATCTTATTTACCTGTATGTACAGGGAGTGGCTTGGCATGCAAATTCCACTCGCCAATTGTCATTGGCCGTTTCTTGTAATGCTCAGAGGTGGTTGGGGCTCCCAAGAGAGACCCCTAACGTCAGTGTCAACGTAACGTTGAATGTAACTTACTGAAAGGGAACCACAATTTTTTACCTATGTTGATGTAGATCCAATTAAAATAGGAATTTTGGGCGTGACATACAGAGGTACTAATGAATAGGGTTTAGTTACATCACAGTCGTGGACCGTAATTTGCAATTTCTACTCCGCAGCAGATGGTGTTAGAGGGAGGAAAGTTGTCATTTTAGAGAACATTTGATTGGACAAAAATCTGTAGTGCAGGATGAATCATCTATATTTTTTACCTGTTTTCCCAGAAGACAATCTTAAATGTATATCTAGTAATTAATTTTTTTTTTTTTCACTCTGGCTTTGCTAGTCTTCATTACCAATACGGCTGTCTTAGGGTCTCTGTTGCCCCCACAAGTCCTGAAGAGCCAAATACATTAACAAGATTTTTCCAAAAGCTAACACTCCCACAAAATATCAGAGTTCAAGGTAAATTTATCTTATGTTTGTGTTTATTTACTGAAATTGTAAGAAAAGGCTGGATATGCGATGAATCTCATCATGACAATTATAGGGAGACCCTTTTTATTATGTTATAATAAAAAAAGTATTTTTCATGCCATTGATGTGACTTGAGCCATCAATCATGAGACTGTACATTATTGTTAAAATATTAGTGCTATTAATTTAGTTGTGCACGACTTCTATATGTACCAAGTGTCAATGAATGAATAAATCAACACTTACAACTGCACACCATTTCTCAGTTTTATTGAGCATTACAATAGCAAGAGGTTAGTACAATCTGCTGTTGGAAAAGTTTACAGACATTTCATAATAAATGTAAAACTAAAATAAGCATATATATATATATTACATTTTTATAGTACTGCAAGAGTTTTAACTAAAGAAAAAATCTAAACTACAGAACTTGAAATATTAGCCCTGCCAAAAAACCCTCATCAATGTAATAACCTTCAACAATATTTGATTCAGTGTAATTTATAAATACATTTTCGAGATCCTCTCATTTTTCTGCCATTATAAAATACAGACCTAAAATATATTTTGCATTTTCAAAGATGGACTAACAGTCATTTTTAGCTTGCTTTTTGGGGTCTCATCTCCTGAGCACTACACGTGGCATTAGAAAACACACAAAGCTGTTCACCTGTTAATACAGCTCAACCACAGAAGTGCATGATGCAGCTTATTTTGTAAGACGCTGGGCAAAAGTGCGTGTGCATCTAGTCTCATCAGAAGATCTTTCTGAAATCCTACTGCCATCAACTTTGTGGTGAAAGTGTAACATCCACAAATTAACTTATTTTCAACAGTGCATATCATTCGATTTGAGAATAATCTTGCTCTTTAAAGGTATAGTTCACCTAAAAATTACTCACCCTCACGTCATTCAAATCTGCACAAATATTTTCATGAAAAACAAAAGAACAGAAAGATCACTTTTCCATGCAATTTCAATAAATGGGGACTGAATATTTCAAACTATAAAAAGGACGTAAAAGCACCAACGTGTCATGTGACCAGTACGCAAGTTCAGTATGAGTTCTGAAGAATATAGTGCACAAGTCATGTGGATATTTTTCTGATACTTTGGTTCTTTTTAATTGTTTTAAAACGTATTATATGAAAAAGAATAGCCAGGATACTCTTAATGAAACCAAACTTCTGTGCTCCACTGAAGAATGTTAATTGTTCAGGTTTGGAATGACATGAGAATGTGTAATAGAATTTCTTGGGTGAACTATTCATCCAACTGAAATGCTATACATAGCTTTAAAAAAGTAAAATGAAAAGGCAATTTCAAAAAGGATTTTATCCTGTATGCCACACTGTGTATGCATTTGTGTATGCATTTACTCACGGCAAGCACACGTGTCAAATCAGACCTTTTTTCACTAAATGTCACTAAACTGAACTTTTGCACAAAACAAGCATCTTGGCTATATATAAAAACATCATAGTAAAAGTAATATTAAATGTCAAGTAAGCAAAAAATCAATAAGCCGTTTACATCAATGGCCACCCTGTTTCAACAACCTTTAGCTTATTTACAATGATAAGGACGGTGCATATTGTTTCAAAGAGGAATAGAAATGGAGCATCAAGTCTTGTCCAGCACATACTAGAAGCTGAGTTTCTTGGAAGCCCACTAAAACCAGAGCAGTACACTAGTCCTGAAGTGCATTTGGCATGCCCTTTTCTTAGCAGACGCCTTAGGCAAATTACCCTGCTAACCCTGTACCCCCCCCCTCTCTCAAGTGACAGTAAAACAGTCTATGCTATGCCTGTGAACAGAGCGCGAAAGTTGTATGGTAGGTTTAATAAAAGGATTGAATAAATAATAATATTGGGAATTATTGAGAGACATATTGCGACCTTTTTGTCCCTTTATGATTGTGTCCTACAATGACACAACGTCAAGCTCTTGCTATAAAGATCCCGGCGCTGGCATATTGCTGCAGAAATAGAGGGTGATTTCACACCGCTTCAGTCACTCACGGTCCCGAGTCGACAAACTCCACCCTCGATTGCCAGTGACTGTCCGGCCACTGCCCCAGGAGGAAGTCTGGATATGCGAGTCTGGCAAACAGAGAGAGAAACAGCGTGTTTACAGGGTCAAGAATGAGTGTGGCGGGAAAGCACACAGCTGCTGGATGGTGGGAGTGAGGTGTCCTCTTTGCAATCAAAAGCAGCTGCCGTCCGCCTCCGGCACACGCCCTGGACGCATTCTCTGACGGGCTATGGTAAGCGGCCTTTGGGGAGCCAAAACCACAGTTCCCTGTCCATGTGTGAGGAAAATGAAAGCCCCGGTATCATCCCAGTGCCCCAGGCCACCTGTCACTAACACTGGCCCATGACAGGAGGACATGCATACGGTAAAAGTCAGTGGAAATCTGTGACCCCTCTCGGCACATCCATGTGTGTCAGTTATACTACCATAAAGATCCATATCTCACTCCCACACTCTGCGTGACTTCCCAGCACGGGCTCAGGCAGATTATTGTAGCTAGGAGAAAACACCTCCAAACTAAATAAAATAACTAAATAAATAACAGAATACCAAACAAACACAAGCAAAAATCCACTCTGAGAAAAGATAAAATGAGTAATAAATCCATCAGAAAAAAAAAGAATAATAAAATTAGAAAATAAATGTAAATATGAATAAAAAGTATGATATAAATAAAATATCGGGCCCAATTAATTCTGCAATTCTGAAAACATAGACGGAACCATGGATTACAGTGATAAAAATGGAATTTACAGTATAATGTGCAATGCGTAATGTTACAGAATTTGGCAAATTTTGGATGAATAAATCAAGAAAGAAAAAAAATCGCAGAAAAAAAAATAATTCAGAAAGATTAAATAAGATTAAATAAAATGGATTTCATAAAAACCCCAAAAATTTATATTTAATATTATATTATTAATATGGTCAGTTGAACATATATCTTAACAAAATCTAGATGAACAAGGACTACAAAACTAACTTTGTTAAGTTTCTGCTAACCACAAACACACCCATGTAAAGATAAACACATTCATACACACACTTGGAGAATGAAATGCATTAATTGACAATGTGCACGGACCGTTGTTTAAAACTTCCGCATAAAGATAAGCCAGCTCGTAAACTTCCGGTGAAGCGTCATTTGATGTTGTGGTACATATAGGTAGAGACTCTTGAGACCCTCACAGAAACCTCTCCTGCCTCGTTCTCATCAGAAACTGAGAAACAAAATAATTGCAACACCGTAAATAATGATAGTGGAATTAACATACAGTTTCATGTTATTTAACAACATATAAATTTACATGCCGAGCCTGGTAATCCCAGGAGAGTACCTAGACACATAATTGTACACTATCATAAAGGTTTAGGCTAACGTTAGCTAGCAAGCGATGCTATCTCCTAAACGACATCATAATGGTATTCTTGATAATCATTAACTTACCTTCATAGTCATGAACACATTTTTTAAACACTTATCATGTTTTAAAGCCTTTATTATTTCTCAACTCTAGAGCTGTGCAGTAAAATTCACTTTAAGGATTCTTTTTGGTGGAAAACAAAGACTTTTAAGATGAAATTGACATGAAAATACCATTATAACCAGTAGATGACCACAGAGGATCACTCATTAGCTTAGTTACCATTTCAACTCCCTAGTTTTTTTTCCTCCACATCTTGCTTTTGGATTTATTATGAAATGACTATCATAATTTTTGCACTTTTACTGCACTGAAGTACAAAGTATAGCAAGTTAATTATTAATGGTATAACAATTAAATAATAATGCATTCAATATTTTGAAATACTTTTAGATTTAAAAACTACATTAAGTTTTATCTTTAACTGTAGAAGCTGCTAAATACATTCAGCCATTCAGTTTTGTTACTCTGAATTTAGTCTGAATCACTTCATGCACAGCTCTATTTTTTACATCGGCTCGTCAGATGTTTTGTTTCGTCCGTTGCTTTATCACTGTCAATCATAGCAATGACTCGTAGAACAATTTAGCAGATTCACTCGCTTAATTTTTTACACTCACGTTTGTCATTCCTGAAACTGTATACGTGGACGTTTGGTCCTCTTAGACAAACAAAACTTTTCTTCAAATTGGAAAAATGGATTATGTAGAGAAACCGAGCTGCTCCCCTTACAGTACAGTTGATTTTGACAGTTGACCAGAAATGACTGAGCTGGCTTATCTAAAACCAGGAAGTAACCGTGCATATAGTCAATTGCCATAGATTAGGGAAACTAGGATACAGGGGAATCGTAGCACAACTTTTTTCTTTTTTTTTCCCCACACTTGCTACCCCATGGAAAGTCATTCCAATGCTGTTTCCATACACAGCTAAAAACTTTCCTTTAAACATGGCCATTACATTGTGTGATTATATGCCCCACATTTTCTGGACTGTAGAGTTCTGCAATTTTTGCATCAGCATTCTTAAAATTTTTTGTGAAATAAATTTATCTGATACATTCACATTCTGAAAGCTCAAAACATTAATGTATTCCTCTAGAATGGCTCTTAAGTAGATGTAAACTCTCCACCACAATACTAGTGGTGGTTGCAACAGTGAGTTGCTAATGTGTTCTGAGAGATTTTTAGTACTACTATGTGGTTACCAGAGTGTTCTGTTTCAACTTTATTGGTACAAATCTCCATGATATTGTGATTCTCAACTACATGGCTTCAATAGACATCTATGAGAACCAATCCCCCCCCCCCCC